AGCAAGGTGCCCTCATGGCCAAGAAGGCCAACAGCACCCTGGGGGGTATTAGAAGGGGTGTGGTCAGTAGGTCGAGAGAAGTTCTCCTGCCCCTCTACTCTGCCCTGGTGAGACCACATCGGGAATACTGTGCCCAGTTGTGGGCCCCTCAGTTCAGGAAGGGCAGGAAACTGCCTGAAAGAGTCCAGCGCAGAGCTACAGAGACGGTTAAGGGGGTGGAACATCTCCCTCCTGATGAAAGGCTGAGGGAGCTGGGGCTCTTTAGCTTGGGGAAGAGGAGACTGAGGGGTGACCTCATTAATGTTTATCAATATGTAAAGGGCGAGTGTCAGGAGGATGGAGCCGGGCTTTTCTCGGTGATGGCCAACGACAGGACAAGGGGCAGTGGGTGCAAGCTGGAGCACAGGAGGTTCCACATTAACATATGGAAAAACTTTTTCACTATGGGGGTGACAGAGCACTGGAACAGGCTGCCCAGAGAGGTTGTGGAGTCTCCTTCTCTGGAGACGTTCAAAACCCGCCTGGACGCGATCCTGTGTGACCTACTCTAGGTGGTCCTGCTCTGGCAGGGGAGTTGGACTAGATGATCTTTCGAGGTCCCTTCCAACCCCTAACATTCTCTGATTCTGTGATTTTGTAAAATTACTTAACAAGAATCATAACTAAAAGCAGGACCTAAGACTATGCTGGCACTTGACATAGGGTGGATTCCATCCATGCTTGCTAGTTTAATGAAAATAAATATGATGTTATTCTTCAGAGTTAGAATATTTTTCCTCTAGGTTAAGTAAGACAAGCTACTAACATTTCACATGATGGACTGATGGGGAAAATTGCTTTCTCTTGAAAAAATTGTACTATCTTTTGCTATGTTTCCATTGGAAGGAACACACATGGTTGAACGGGCTTAATACATTTAATCACTTGCTTTCAAGGAAAAGAAGTCACAAGAATGAGCTCAAATAACCATTAGAAAAAGCCTTGCTGCTGCACTTGCTCTCCCCAGACTGGTGGTATTTCCACAGACAAGCTATCCCATCAGCTGCAACAGAAAAGAGCCTGCTCTGATCTGGGCTCAGGGCTATATGCAGGACTCTCCCTTTATGACCTGTAAAAAAAATATGTACAAAAAAAGCAAAGATAACATCACAATCCTACATTGATTATGCCAGTCACTTTCACCACCTCACCCACACTATGGCTTGTTCCACTTTTACTGCAGCAGTAAAACATGCTGTATACGATCTGGGAAGCTAGCATTATCTATAGAATATTTTCACATTAAGAAAGAGCTGAAGGCAATATTTTCATATTAGGGACCAGGTGTTAATTGCCAGGACTGCAACACATTGAGAAGACCTTTCTGTTAAAGGAGAACATTGAATCTGACCTCTTGATTCTTTGCACATTTACAACATCAGTCTCATCTGTGTTTGGTAATGTGTCTCACCGTTGAGCTTTCCCATCTGGCTGCACACGCCTTGCAGACAGTTTGCAGCTGATCCAGCAACAATGAGATAGTGTCTCCAGCTGCTCCATTATTACTGTTAAGGATCTTTTAACTGTGATCCCACTAAATAATTTATGGGAATTGTATATTGAGTTTGTCTGCAGTTGTAGTAAACCTCACTGCTCTGCCATAGACCTCTCAGAACATCATCTAACAAAATGTCAATGCTAAGCAAACCCATGAGGTTTTTAGGCACACAGGGGCATGAGAAATTAGAAGCCTTTTTACTCTAAGTTACTGACCACTAGCTTCTCTGGCTGGGTGAGTTACTGACAATCACACAGCTGAGTAGTCACCCCAGGGGGAAAAAGAAACTTCTGAAAAATAATGTGTCTCATCTAAACCCGACCAGATGAACCACATCCTAAAAGGCATGAAGGAAGCCTTGCATGACCAACTTGAATGAATGTAGGTGGCCTCTGTCCTCCCACCATATGTACCTGAGTTCTCTATGCACACAACGGGACAGCTCTTCTCTAGCCCAAAATAATTTTATGAAGATAAACATGCGAGGAACTGTAAATCCCTCTGAAACTGTGTTACTTATCGCAATGGTAACAGATGAAGATCAACAGGATTGTTGCACATGCACAGTCTGCCCTAACTTTGCGAAGCTGCTACAATGGCTCTCTGGAGCCATTGTGACCAAAAGCAAGTATCTGCTGTCCTGGTGCTGAGTAACACATGTCACTCCTATACTTTCTGACTACAAATTTGACAATATCACTAAATTATTTCAGCAGAGATTAATTTTAAGGGTTTGCTCCATTTCAAGTTATTGAAGTGTACATGATCTTTGTCAATATTTAAGATCATAAGTTTACAACTTATGATCTTAAATTCACTTAAAGTGAATTCTTTACCCTGTCTCTGTTCAGTGCCTGTAACAATTCTGAAGGAAGAGCTCTCTGTTCATTTCCTCTGGGTGTAAAACTCATGTGGTTAAGGTGTCTAAGGGTGTCTAAGCCTGACTTAGAATCGTCTCACAATCACCCATCACAGTATTTTTTCTGAACGTATGTTGACACATTCACAATTTCTTCCAATATTCAATTTCTT